TGTAAACCAGATTATATTTGCAATGACCGCTTAGTCCTTTTTATAAGGCATAGTTGGGCGTGATCAATTATATTCATACCTCGATTTGTTTCTGAAGTAGCAAATATCTTAAAAGAGGTTCGAAGCATCACAATTTGATGTGATTATGCACATTCAGATAATTATGTTCTATCTCCTGAAGGAAGAGAACTTTTGATAATATTAATCCATTTCCTGAAGTGAATGTGACAATATTAAATATGAATGCGCTCTTGATGTAAATATATTACGATTCACCTCCAGAAGAGGTAATACGATTGAGAGAATATATTCTCAATATTTCATATTTCAAATTTCTCCTGAAGTAGTAAATAATTAAAATTTCCTCCTGAAACAGAAAAATATTATGTAGTGGTAAAACAATATATTAAAATTCTTAATTTTCGTCATTTATAAATTTAGAATTGTATTTATATTGTTCATTTGATTATGATTTTCTTTCATTACACCAGAAGTGTCTGAACAATATTTGGTAGTACAAAATTTATCAAAAGCTCCTGAAGATCTAACTATTTGTCTAGAAGATACATGACATCAGTAGTGTCGGATAAATATTAGATTGTGGATAATAAATGAAGGCTCTCGAAGAGCTTATATACAAATATGTCATTCATATTATATGATTATGGTCAAAATATATATTGTAGTAAACCTGAAGTTTACTAATAAATGGTTATCATATTGAGAATACAAATGACTGAAAGATTGAAAATCTTCATGTTTTCACAATCATAGGGGGTAAAATAATATGTATGTGAGAAGTGACCCGCCTTATTCTTTAATTTGTACTATATCATGTATCACGGTAAATCAAAAGCTTACTAATGCAAAAACAGTTACGGTAAACCAGAAGTTTTACTGAGGCAAAAGTTGCTACTGTAAACCAGAAATTTACTGATACAAAAGTAACCACAGTAAATGAGAAGTTTACTTAGAGATAGCACATGCCATGATAAACTTGAAGTTTTCATTTTCCATTTTTAAATGAGCTATTTGAGAATTCAGATAAGCATACACTGAAGAACTAGAAGATTCTTCAAGAATTCTCTTGTGTTGCTTGTTCTCATAATAAATTGATTATACCAGCTAAAGTTGGGACTAAAATCCCTGAATTTTGGAATATATAAAAGGTGAATATGGGCTCATTCACCTATCATGTGAACCACTTATAAATGCATATATGAGATGGTTACATGTGTGTTTATTGTCAACCTGCAGTTTGGCATTTAAAATTGCCTTTCTCAATTAAGAGCATAATTTTCAGATTATGAAATCAAGATAGTTCATCTTAATGATGCTGGTTTATATCCAAGCTAGTTTAGCATTGAATACCTCCTATTAATGGCTAAACTATTGCTTATAAGAACAAAGCCTCATATGTTGATCTAAGATTTTCTAAATTGCAAACAATAACACTTGTATGCATCAGACCAACAAAATATGATAAGTCCTCCCCTCACAATTGGTTTAGGATCAGAAATCAAATATTTTTACTATCTAATAACTTTTGATGTGTGGTATATGATTAATTTCTCTACCACAGTGCACAAAGATAGGTTTTCCAAAGAATATTGGGGATATGTGTTAGTTTTTCTAACATTTGGGGATGGAATAAACAGCTGAAAAATATGCTATATGAATCGAATTATCTTTAATATGATCCTCACTTAGAAGATAATTCAAGTCAAATGCTAGAAGCATTTGCTGATCCAAAATTAAATATCATATTTCAGTTATAAATGCTACTATTAAAATTAAAAGTCCCTGAAGGATAAAGTTTACTGCACGCATAAAGCGTAGTAAACCAATCGGTTGCAAAGATAACAATCCTTGAAAAATGATAGGAGCAAATGATCAAAATGATCATAATGATGAGGAAATGAGCTCTAGAAGAGCCCACGACATAACATTTCATGAAACTCCAGAAGAAGTTCAGGTACCTGAAAATAAAGAAAGTGATGAGATCTCAACAAGTTATGTCGCTTAGGAACCGATACAAAATAATCATCGACGATATATTTAATCCAATATAGTGCACGATATTATAAAAGATTGTGAGGATCGGGCCTGTAGTCCAGACACCTAAAGATGTCATGCCATTTAAATGCAAGTCATAACCTATATGACTCATTTGATTAAATCAATATGAAGATCCCTGAAGGATTTAAAATGCTTGAAGCATATAATTCAAAGTCTCGAGAAATGTACTCGATCAAATTACAAAGATCTTTGTACGGTTTAAATCAATTTGGGCGCATGTGATATAATCACCTCAGTGAATATTTGCTGAAAGAAGGTTACATAAATGATGTTATTTGTCCATGTATTTTTACAAAGAAAACAACATCATAGTTTGTTATATTTGTTGTTTATATTAATGGCATAAATCTCATAGGAACTCCAGAAGAGCTCCTAAGGGAAAAACTTTGTCTTAATCTACAAATTGAATATTTAGTAGACGAGATCCTTATCCATCAATCTGTCTATACAGAAAAGGTCTTAAAACGCTTTTACATGGACAAAGCACACCCATTAAGTACACCAAATGGGTGTTCGATTACATGAAGTGAATAATGATCCGTTCCGACCTCTAGAAGAGGATGACTAACTCCTTGGTCCTGAAATACTCTATCTCAGTGCAATTGGTGCACTTATGTATCTTGCTAATGCTAACAAGGGTGGTGCAGATTATATTGGTTGTGCAGATGCAAGTTATTTATCCGATCCCCATAAAGTTCGTTCTCAAATCGGGTATGTGTTTTACATGTAGAGGTACTGTCATATCATGACGCTTCACAAAGCAATCTATTGCTACTGCTTTTTCAAATCATGCTGAGATAATAGCTATTCATGAAGCAAGTAGGGAAAGCGTATGGTTGAGATCAGTGATTCATTTTATTCGAGAAAAATGTGGGTTGGAATGTGATAAGAAACCTATAATATTATACGAAGACAATATTGCATGGATAGCCCAATTAAAGGGAGGATTCATAAAATGAGATAGAACGAAACACATTTTACCAAAGTTATTCTTCACACATGATCTCGAGAAGAATTGTAATATCGTTGTGCAGCAAATCCGTTCAAGTGATAATCTAGTAGATTTATTCACTAAATCTTTACCAACTTCAACTTTTGAGAAGATAGTATACAAGATTGGAACGCAAAGACTCAATATTTGAAATAAAGTTTTCATCAGGGGGAGTAAAATACGCGTTGTACTCTTTTTCCCTTACTAAAGTTTTTCCCATAGGGTTTTCCTTATAAGATTTTTAATGAGGCAGCTATTAATGCATATTACTAGATATGTGTACTCTTTTTCCTTTACTAAAATTATTTTTCGCGGAGTTTTTCCTAATAAGGTTTTAAATGGGGCACATTATCTTTTAATGAACATCCAAAGAGGAGTGTTATAAATATATTTTATTATGGATGTCCATTTAGTACTCCCTTGTAAATAAGCTTCCTGAAGAAGCTTATCCATATGGGACTCCGCCGTAAATATGTTTATCTATTTAGTATTCTATTGGAAATAAGCCTCCTGAAGAAGCTTATCCTTTCGGTACTCCATTATGGATAAATATTACCCCCGGTAGAAGATTATCTATATCTGGTACAATAGCAGCTTACAAGCAACTTACACAGCAACTTGCAGTAGCAGCTTACAAGCAGCTTGCAGTAGCAGCTTACACAACAACTTCCTTTCTTCTATAAATATAGGAGATTTCAGTTCATTATGTACATAAGTTTGAATAATATATCAGTTTCTCTCTGTACTTGTCTTTACTTTACAGTCTTTATTTTATAACAAACCAACAAATATTATTGATTTTATAAAATTGACAACCAAGTCAAAATATGTAACGTCAATTTAATTTGATTATTTGGTTTGGTTCAATTTTTTCAGTTTATCTTGAACATCCCTTAGTACCACTCTAAGGGGTCATTTGGTTGGAAATAAGTTATCCCAAGATTAATTATCTCGGAATTAGTTATTCCGAAATTGTTATATCACCCTCCGATAGGGATAAAAGTAACATTATAATCCCAGGATAACTAATCTCGAAACTAATTATACTGCAGTTTTATCCCAGCTAAATATAGTATAGAGAAAATACCAGTTATGTCCATTTATAAGTAGCTTATTGTAAAAATTGGCCAATTCATAAAATATTACTAATATTAGCCAATTAGCTATTTGTAGCAAAAAAAAAAAGTCAATATTTTGCTTTCTTTTGAGTGGGTGTTATTAGAATAAATTGGATACATTTTAAGGAACTTGAATTTCAATTTTGGAATGATTTGGTAGAGTTTTGAGGTGGTTTAGAAGATGAACATGAAAAAATGATATGTGTATCACACTGTGTATCAGATATGTAACATATTTGTATCAAATGTGTATCACAAGTATATCCATGTATACCTGCGTATGAGATACATGCGTGATACATGTGTCGCAGAAGAACTTTTTGAACTCGATTTTAACTACGAATTTTGATACCAATTCAGTCCAAATCACCTCCAATCTTCCTCAAATTTTATTTATAGACTCATTTATATGTTTTCAATGAATCTCAACCATACCCATTGAAAAAGTTCTTTTTTTGCTTAGATTTTTGGAATCTTATATATATATTTTTTTGTATTTCATCACCTTATTTGCTACCCCATTCATGAAATTTCATTTCCGTCTTACATCTAATGTTGCTAATTATACTTAAAAATATGGAAGGAGATCTTTGTGTGTGATTCTTGGAGAGAAATAACACCTTATTTCTTTTGGTTTTTAATTTTTATATGTATTTGACTAGTTTTGATAAATTTATGATTAATGGCTAGAGATTGATAATTTGAATTTTTTTTTTGGGGATATTTCTATAAGATTCTTTATATGATAAACTAATCTCAAATTTAAGTTAGGATTAATGGTCTCTTATCCCTAGTATAAAACGAGCCCACGTGGGAACGGGGGGACAAAATGCACAATCAAGTGGGAGCGGGTCGGGTTTGATTTCTCAGTCACCAACCCAATTACAGACGTGAGACCACCCGGTATTTCTCCTACCATTATCCTCCCCATCGATCACACCACCACCACCGGAAAACCCTTCATTCCTGGCGAATCGCTAATTCAAAACCCTAAAATCATCCCTAAATTCCCACCCCAACCCTAACTAATCGTCATTCACAAAGCAAGCTCCATTCAAATCCCGCTGTTCCATTCCTCAATTCGATAATCCGATCATCAAATTGTTGAATCAAGATGGTGTTAGCACAATTAGGGGGGAGCATATCACGTGCTCTCCAGCAAATGAGCAATGCCACAATCATTGATGAGAAAGTTCTCAACGAATGCCTCAATGAAATTACACGTGCCCTTCTTCAAGCTGATGTTCAGTTTAAGCTTGTCCGTGATATGACTACCAATATCAAGAAAATTGTTAATCTCGATGATCTTGCTGCTGGGCACAACAAGCGTAGGATTATTCAACAGGTTATTTTTGCTTTCAATCGCCAAGATTGAATTTTTTTTGCTTATAAATTTGCTTATTTTGGATCGTTTGTATACTTTTATTTGATTTTTCAAGTCAACATTTGAACATTTGCATATGTTGTATAAGTGTGTGTCTGATGTCCTGCACTATCTTAGTGATTGGCTTTAAATTTGAATAAAATGTACTCTAGTACTTATTTACCTCTCAGGAAAAAATGAGCCTTCATAAATGTGCATGTTTGCTACTAAGTATACTACTCTTTGCTTAATTATACTTTTTCCTCGTCACATTCTTCCATTGACTCAAGACAATTTTCTTCTCTTGTATAGGCGGTCTTTAATGAGCTCTGCAAGATATTGGATCCTGGGAAGCCTTCTTTTACACCAAAAAAGGGGAAACCTAGTGTTGTCATGTTTGTTGGTTTGCAAGGTGAGTTGATAAAAATTTCCACTTTAAATTTATATATTATATGATACCTTAGCAATTTGGTGATTATCACATGACCTCTTTGCTTTCTAACGGCAATAGGAATTTGCGTGAAGACATGTTGAATCCCGTTCCAATTTTTCACTTTGTAAGAGGGATACCCTTATTTATTTTGTAATTTACCACAGGGTCTGGAAAGACAACAACATGCACAAAGTATGCATACTACCACCAGAAAAAAGGTTGGAAACCAGCTTTAGTATGTGCAGATACATTCAGAGCTGGTGCTTTCGATCAATTGAAGCAGAATGCAACAAAAGCCAAGATACCCTTTTATGGAAGGCATATCCTCTTCTCAATCTCTTAGTGTCACCTTCTCTTTACAATTTTAGAAGCTTGATGAGGCTACAATCATCGTGAATGTTCCTCCATCCTTCTTTGTGAAGGTGTTCTACATATTGGTTGGTTAATTAAACTGATAAACAATGTCATAGGCTTAGGGATCAGAGATTTTAAGTGCATTTAGACAGAGAATCGGAGCAGGTCAAAAAGATTACTTAAAATAAAAAAAGACTCGTCAAAGAGATTAAAGTCATAGCTGTCAGCTGACTGAGAATCATTATGCAATATCTAATCATGAGTGGTAATAGTGAAACAAAAGTACATAACGTGTAGTTATCTGCTTATGAAATAGTTTCTTTAAATCTGGCTGAGGATTGCATATCTATTTGGATTCACCTTTTGTTATCTATTTGGCGAAAGTCCTTATTCTACCTGCTTATGGGAGGAAAGTCCTTAAGCTACTTTGCTCAAGAGCTCTCACCACTGAGAAACCAATGATTTCTTCTTCTCTTCTTTTATTTTTATTTGTTCAAATCAAATGGAGGTGGATAGTTGTTTGACCTCGGTTTTGCCTAGTTGCTTCACCCTTGCGAAGAATAAAAGAAGTTCTTCATCTGCTTTTTGAATGGATTGAGTAGTCTGCTATTGTTGCATGTTTGCTGACTATGAAGTAATAATTAGTCAATTAGGTTCTGCTAATCTGCTTTTGCTGTTCTAAGCAACAGTATAGGCAATTTTGTATTTTGATTTAATGAATGTTTCTGCAACAGCTATACGGAGTCAGACCCTGTGAGAATAGCAGCTGAAGGTGTTGAGACATTTAAGAAGGAAAATTGTGATCTAATAATTGTTGATACCAGTGGGCGCCACAAACAAGAAGCTGCTCTTTTTGAAGAAATGCGACAAGTTTCTGAAGCAACGGTATGTTTTACAATGCTCCAAATATATGGTTAGCTTTAATAAGAAATGCTAATCTTTCTATTTGGTTTTCCAGAAACCAGATCTTGTGATATTTGTTATGGATAGCAGTATTGGTCAAGCTGCGTTTGATCAAGCTCAAGCATTTAAGCAAAGTGTCGCAGTTGGAGCTGTGATTGTTACTAAGATGGATGGTCATGCAAAAGGAGGTGGTGCCCTTAGTGCGTAAGTTTGCTTGCTACGGTTGTAGCAGTTACTATAATTGATAATGCCTTCTTTTGGTAATGAGCACTCTTGTATAACTAAATAAAACATGCCTTTGAGCACGTCTGGGCAACATCAAGGGTGACAACTTTAAACCATGTCAGTTGCAGAGCTTGTTTGGTCAAACTTCTAAAAACTACTTATTTTAAGAAGCACTTTTGTCAAAATAACTTTTCCAAAAAGTACTTTTAAAGAGAGGCAAATTGTGTTTGGCCAATTCATATGAGAAGTGGTTCTTTTTAGTATTTGATAACCAAGTTGTGTTTGGCCAATCTTTCCAAACAATGCTTTTGAGTGTCAAAGAGTATTAAGGTTCATTTACAATTAGTATTATTTGAATAGAGAAATGTTTTTAAATATTCTTTTATGAAAGGCAGTAAATAATTTTTTTTTATTTAGTTAAAATTTTAAAATAAACTAATAATATATATTAAGGCTTTTAATCATTATCTATATTCTATATATTATTAAAAGGAGAGGAAAAAGCCCTCTTCTTAAACTAAATGACGGCCTAGAAAAAAGCCACATGGCATAAGTAGTTAATAATTAGTTATTGGTTATTGTTTTTGAATTTAAATTTCTATAAAATAATAAAATAAAATATTTTATAATAAAAAACGAAAATTAAAAAAAGTGTCCATTCAAATTGGAGAGTAGTTTCAAGTTGGAGTTTTTAAATTATTTTAAAATAAAAAATCAATATCAATCAATATATTATTAAAAGGAGAGGAAAAAGCCTTCTCCTTATGCCAAGTGGCAGCCTAGAAAAAAGCCACATGGCATAAGTAGTTAATAATTAGTTATTGATTATTATTTTTGAATTTAGTATCTATAAAATAATCTTCTATATATTATTATAAGGAGAGGAAAAAACCCTCTCCTTAAGCCAGTGTTTTTGAGAGCGAGAAGCGCAAAAAAGCGACAGGGGCTCGCCTCGCTTAAAAAACGAAGCGCAAAGCGAAGCGCACGCTTCATTGAAGTGAAGCGCAATTCTTAAAAAACATANAAAGAAGAAAAAAAGAAGAAAAATTACCCGGAGGATTGGAGGAGGTCTCTGGCGACTTGAACCCTAGCAGTACTCAACAACAATTGATTTTGGGAAGAAGAGAGAAATGGTCTTCACTTTGGTCTTAGGGATATGTTTTGTATAATAAAAAAACAGACCCAAATTTTTTCTTTTAAAAAAACTGACCTCTTTGAACAGAAGCGAGCGATTCTGCGCTTCTCGCTTCAAGGTCCCTTCGCGCTTTTTTGACTGAAGCGAGCGCTTCGTGTGGTCGAGTCGCCTCAGGCATGGAAAAGCGAGCAGCCATCGCTTTGCGTCGCTTCTCGCTTAAAGCGATCGCTTCGTCGCTTTTTAAAACACCGCCTTAAGCCAAGTGGCGGCGTATAAAAAAGCCACATGGCATAAAGTAGTTCATAATTAGTTATTTAGTTAATAATTAGTTATTGGTTATTGTTTTTGAATTTAAATATCTATAAAATAATAAAATAAAATATTTTATAATAAAAAACGAAAATTTTAAAAAAATATCTTGAATTTAAATATCTATAAAATAATAAAATAAAATATTTTATAATAAAAAACAAAATTTTTAAAAAAATATAAATATCTATAAAATTTAAAATAAAAAATATTTCAAGATTAATAAAATATATATCTTCTCTTATATTACAAAAAGAAAGTGAGCAGACAAAAATATTAAACAAAGTAATATGCTAATAAAAATTAAAAATACTAAACATTGAATAATAGAATAAAGAAAAATATAGAACAAAAAAGTTATTCAATGACTATATAAGTCCCTTTAATTTTATTATTGGGTATATCATATTGACAAATAAGATAACAATTGAAATTCATTAAAGCAATACGATCTAATATGTTCAAACAAGCCCGATCACAATTTAGTTTAATTAATATTTTTTAATATTGACTGTGCATCGCGCGGGTACGACTACAAGTAATAGTTAAACAAAATAAAAGGAAGAGGAGAAGAGGGTTGTAATTATATTTGAGGGATGTATGGGTTAAATTAATGTGAGACAGTTTGGTAAATATAAATTTTCAATAAGGATATTTTTGTCTTGAAAGAATCAGTTTCTGCTTTTGCTTCTTGGAAGAAGCGGAAATTTGTCGTTTTCCCCAAACAGCAGAAAACTGCTTATGCTGCTGCTCAAAAGCACTTTTTGTTTTTGGTACACCTCAAATCTCCGCTTTTGGCTTCCCAGACAATTGGCCAAACAGGCTAGCTTTCTGTTAATGTAATTTTTTGGTTGGGTAACACATATTCTTATAACCTCTTTCAGTTAAGTACTCTAAGCTATTGAACATGTTCCTTAGAAAATTATTATTCTTTATCTGACAAGTTCAATTTATATGGAAACAAAATGAGATGCTGTTCAGGGCTTGAAATTTGAAGGTTTCTAATTGGTACAACACTAAGCCATAACTTCTGCTGTTTCTTGTCTAGGATATGCACATATTTCCTGAAGTGTTGATTAAACTATGAATTCTACTGCCCTGTCCTGATATGTCCGTTCTTTTGCTTACAAGCACTTCTTTTTCATATTTTCAATTCCTAAATTAGATGAGTTTCATCAGTTATTTTAATGCAATGAAATTTATAACCTGATTTTGGGAGTGAACAAGATATATTTATCTCTCTCTCTCTTGCATGCAGAGTTGCTGCAACAAAAAGTCCCGTCATATTTATTGGAACTGGTGAACACATGGACGAGTTTGAAATTTTCGATGTTAAGCCATTTGTCAGCCGTCTTTTAGGTTTGCATCTCTTTTGTCAATTCCTCACCTTTGCTTGGACGCATTTTCATCTGCACTGTAATTTGATTTTCTTCCTGAACCAGCTCCTGCTTATTTGTGGTACTTTATATTGCTGATATCTGTTGTCCTATTGTGTCGATCTCTACCAGGCATGGGTGACTGGTCTGGGTTCATGGACAAGATACATGAAGTTGTCCCGATGGATCAACAGCCTGAGCTTCTTCAGAAGTTATCGGAAGGACACTTTACCTTGAGGATAATGTATGAGCAATTTCAAAACATACTTAAAATGGGTCCCATTGGCCAGGTTTGTTGCTTGCTTTAAATTTTCTGATTTTTCTGAAAAAACATTCTCTTTTTCCATCGTTTTGGGTGTCAACCGTCAACTTCCTCATCATTTTGGTTGGAAAAGCTTCATCACTATCCAATTCATTTGGAAATAAGCAACTATAGTCCATCAGCAGGCGCTTTTGCTGTTATCTTAAGTTTATAGTTCCTGCAGTATAAATTTTCTTGAGTCCGTTTACAATTTTTTTTCCCTTCTTTTCTTTCTGATAAACCACAAATATTTACAGAATAACTTACTGCAAGCTCAAGATCATTTTCTAGTTCCTTGAATACAACTGAAAGGGATTTGTCAACCCTACCTCTTTTGCTCCCCCAACCCCGTCCTCTCTCTCTCTCAGTTGACTTGATATCATCTTACACGTTTTTTATGTTTCTTTGTGGTATAGGTCTTCTCAATGCTTCCAGGATTCAGTGCAGAGTTGATGCCAAAAGGCCGTGAAAAGGAAAGCCAGGCAAAAATTAAACGATACATGACAATGATGGATTCAATGACTAATGAAGGCAAGTGATCTAATTCTAAGAGCTTTACGCATTAGTTGGTTTTAGAGTTTAGTTCGATGTTTTGATTTAAAATTCTAATTCGATTGCAGAATTGGATAGTTCCAACCCAAAGCTTATGACAGAATCCCGAATTATGCGGATAGCTAGGGGCTCCGGTCGCCAAGTGCATGAGGTCATGGAAATGATGGAGGAATACAAACGACTGGCGAAGATATGGAGTAAGATGAAGGGGCTTAAGATTCCAAAGAAGGGAGAGATGAGTGCCTTGTCTCGAAATATGAATGCGCAACACATGAGCAAAGTCCTGCCCCCTCAGATGTTGAAGCAAATAGGTGGCATGGGTGGTTTGCAAAACTTGATGAAGCAAATGGGCGGAATGGGTGGAATGGGTTCCGCTAAGGACATGATGGGTATGTTTGGTGGTGGAGACAAGTAATATATGATTACATCAAAGCACATTTTTACTGGAAAAGCATCTTAACCCCGGAGCTTCCTCTTGCCCTTTGTATTATTGGCCATAGATTTTGGAATTTTGGAATTATTGGAAGCAGATCATGTCAATAGAAGGAATTTCTTATGAGTTTGCTGCTTCTTGATTTTCTTGCTGTATTTATGTTGTCAGTAGGTATCTCAATATCCATTTTCTTAGATTAGAGAATGGTCATACCCCTCCTCCCGTTTGAGGAAGATATCTCAGGTGTTCGCGGATAGGTGGATGGGATGTGTCAAGAGTACAGATTGTTTGAGTATAACACTATAGATGTCAATGAAGGGGAGCCTTGGTGTAACGGTAAAGTTGCACCTATGTGACTAGGAGGTCACGAGTTCGAGTCGTGGAAATAGTCTCTTGTAGAAATACAGGATAAGGCTATATACAATAGACCCTTGTGGTCCGACTCTTCCCCGAACCCCCCGTATAGCGGGAGCTTAGTGCTCAAGCTGCTTTGTTTTACTATAGATGTCAATCTTTTCTCTCAGTAGGCTTTTACTAGAGTGTTTCTCGACTCTCCAAATAGTCTCAGGTGTAGAGGTGATCACGCTCAACTATGCCTTATAAAAAGGACTAAACGGTCGTTGAAAATATAATATCCGGTCTAAGAATTCGGAATCGAATTCCACAGAGAACTAAGGTTTAGCTACAACTGTTTACTATCACTCATAAAACAAGTTTGAACAATTTATAAGCTGTAAATATCAATATTCTTATGTCTAACTAATTAACTAACAAATTAAAAAAAGTAAATAAACAACTAGAGATACTCAGGGTGGGAGACAAGAATAAGGAGGTAAAGAGTTATGATTTTCCCAATTGTTGGAATCCTTCTCGCTACGTCTTCTATAATTTCGCCTAAGTATTCTCTACCGATCGTAAGTACTTTGGGTGTTGTATCTCTCTCTCGAGCAACTACTACAATTTACTAGACGTATTCTCTCGAACTACGCTAGCTAATACTAATTCACCGCTCACTACGATCGCACCAAGGTTTCGTTATCTCTAATCCTACCTTTAAACACATAAGTTATGAGTGATGTTGTTCAACAATTACCTAAATGCGTACTCTTTCTCGAGCAGTACACACTAAATAGGCACAGTCAATTGATGGCCATTAAATCAACAACAACAAACACGTAGTTGAACAAGTAGCGAAATCTAACTGCTAAATTATATAAAAACATAACAAGAATTCATCCTACAAAAGGTTCCATCAAAACACTAGATAACAAATTAACTATTCATAATAGTATGCAAAAGTACAATACTAGATTTCATAACCAATAATGAAAATAGGAAGACGGAAGTGAAAAACTCGTAGAAGAATTCTCCGCCTTGCTCCTAGCGTGTTCTTGCCTTTTTAGGTCGAATCTCCTCTCCAATAATGTCTCCCTCTTAAGAAATAGGTTTAGAACCCCTTTTATACATGTTGGGAGCGTGTAGGGTCGAAACTACCAAGTCCTAGCCGAATTAGGACGAAATCCGCCCTTAGGCGTCTCGCTTGGCGCCTGGTGCCAACCTGGACACCGAAATTTTTCCACTTCTGTGCTTTTCTTCCATTAGCGTTTTGGTTAGTGCCTGGCGCTAACCTGGGCACCAAAATCATACTCCCTCCAAATTCTTGTATTTTTACTTCACTTTGCATGCAAGCTTGCCAAATTACTTTAAATTGACTCCTACACATATAAACACCATTATTAAGCTTGAGTCATAAATATTTACACCAAAGTTAACAAGATTGAGGTATAATGCAAGGCAAATTACATGCAAAAATATGAATTTGTAGCCTAACATCACCACCCCACACTTAAGCTCTTGCTCGTTCTCGAGCAACCTAAAACTTTGCAAACCAAACGATGCACGCAAGACATTATACAATGGAGGAACATCTGGCAATTCAAAACACTACACATATGTGTCACGTCTCAATTTCCCCTTCGTTGGGTATCGTGATGGCACCTAGTCTTAGGGACTAGGTAAGCGTAACATTTACTGAATAACAACCATAATAAATAACATCTAATAACTTGAAATGAATTTTTTAATAAAAGTTTACAATTCCCAAAACCGGTAGTACAAGTCATAAGCTCTACAGGGATTGCTACAAATTTCTAAATACAACTGTTTGGAAATAGGTAAAACAGTGTGAATACAAAATAGGAAGGTGACTCTAAAGCCTGCGAACGCAGCAGTAGGTTTACCTTGAGTCTCCACAGCAACAGTCTGCACAACTAGCTAATGATCAACTGATTTCAAAATACCTGGATCTGCACAAAAATGTACAGAAGTGTAGTATGAGTACACCACGGCGGTACCCAGCAAGTATCAAGACTAACCTCAGTGGAGTAGTGACGAAGTACAGTCAAGATACCTACTGGACTAAATAACTTGAACAAGTATAAGTATAGAAACAACAGAGTATGATATCTACATAAAGACTATGCGAAGTGAAAATTAATACGGTAATTGCAATAAGAAAGGACAGCAACAAGTATCAGCGGAATACCATAATAATGACACAGACGGGTAAACGTAAACACAACCTAAATCCGAAATCACAGATACAACAAAGACAATTAATAACTCAGCAACAACAACCGCTTTCGCATCAGATTTTAGTCAATAAACTCCACGAAGTATCGAACCTCGAGCTAATCACAATTCACGGGTCTCAATAACTGAACCTTAACACTTGACATTTTGTGTCCTCATTACACTTCATAACCGCATTGACGACTCACGTGCCAAATAGAGCCATTCTCACATAGAAGGCAAGTAAACAAGGGTGTGCACCTATACTCAACAATATCAAGAAAATCTTTTATCCGATAAGAGTGCTTAACTACGTGTATGCTTGTGCAAGTGTCCTAACATAGTTCATACCGGCTAGTGAGCATAAGGAAAAGAACGGACAACACGTAGAATATTTTCTCACAACTTTTACAAGATAAAGCTCACACAGATAAGTGTACCACTACACAAATATCAACAATAAGAATGCCCCTAGGCCATCACGAATCATCACAAATCAATCCCTGATATAGCCCACCTTGTCTCGTCACGTGTGCAATAGTAAAGTAAATGTCCGTCTTGTCTCGCCACACGTGCATAATAATGTTTCCACCTTGTTTCTCCACATGTGCAACCCACATATATATTTCCTGCCTTGTCACGTTGCATGTGCAAATATCAATAGTAACAATGGCACGGCAGAAACCTCGTGCAACCCCATAACAAAGAGATGTCAACAAAGGGCACTCCCGAGATACTGTCTCGTAGTCCCAAAAGTAAATTCTCAACAGGGGATCTCCCGAGGTACCGCCACGTAGTCCCAAAGTTAATATGCAAGACAGAGGGATCTCCCAGGTACCGCCTCGTAGTCCCAAAGTAAATATACAAGAATAACAAGTACAACAACAACAATAACACTAATACAAGGATACGACAAATAAATCAACTCAAAAATTCTAGAACTCAAAGGAACGGAGGAATTAATTCACGAGGAGTGGCCACAATTGAGAATGCTAGTCATAATAAGAACATCTCAACAAGAAAGGAAATATTATGTAACGACGGTCCACGATGTACAGTTCGACAACGAGGAAGCTAACACAAGGTGAATAATTCCAAATAAGGAACATATAGGATATCTAACATTCTTTTAAGGTTGGCAATTAAGAAAGAGATACAACAAATTCAATTAGAGATAAGCAGCAGAAAGATAATCATAGCCTAAATTAAGGACGAACAATTACAAAAAAGATAATTATAACTTCAAATAAAGATAATCAGTTAGGGGAAAGATAACATGGCAATAAAAGAGATAACAATTTCAGTTAAGGCGTAGATGACTCAAATAAGCATCAAGGACGGATCATGAAGTAATTAATTCTAATTAAAGTAGGTAGAGGTAAAACTAGTAATTAAGAGACGTATTCATAACATAATAACTGCATAATCAGTGAATACAAGGACCTAAGAACCCTAAAAGGCCAACTTTCCACAAATAGGTCCGAGCACGTACTCGTCACCTCGCGTACACAGACTAAAATTAGCATAGAAGACTCAAATCCTAAGGGGTAGTTCCCCCACATGAAGTTAGGCAAGATACTTACCTCGAACCAAGCTCAATCAATAAGTAAGAATGCCCTTTTCCCTTGATTATCCGACACTGAATGACCCAAATCTAACCAAACATAATTACGTATCATAAATAAAATTATGAGAAACTAATTTAAATAATAAATTTATGACACTACAAAGAATCGAAAATTCGGCCCAAAAAGTCGACTCGGGCCCATGTTTCGGAATCAGGTAAGAGTCATAAAATACGAACACCCAATCAACCACGAGTTCACTCGTACCAACCCTTTTCCCAATTTCTCAACCAAATTCCTTAATTAAATGATGAATTCAACTATAGATTAATGAGATATAACCATAAAAGAGTTAAGAATCGTTACCCACAAGCCTCCTTTGAAAATCCCTCAAACTTTTGCCTCAATCCGAGCTCTCTGGGTCCAAAATTGGAGAATGAAGTCAACCCTCGCACTTAGCCCTTTTCTGCCCAGCGATTTCCACTTCTGCGGGCTTCCAGTCGCACCTGCGACGCCGTACTTGCGGAAATTCCATCGCAGGTGCGGAAATGACTTAATTCCTCTAGTCCGCTTATGTGAGCATAAGGCCGCACCTGCGAGTGCGCGCCTGCAGATTCTTGTCCGCTTTTGCGGAATCCTCACTCAGCTCTCCTTCCGCTTCTGCGATCTCTTCTCTGCAGGAGCGGCTCCGCTTCTGCGGCCCTTTGGTCGCACCTGCGACCACTGGTTACCCAGACCAGGGCCGCATCTGCGAGCTCTCTTCCGCACGTGCGAGTCCGCACTTTCGGCCACCCCACCGCAGGTGCTATTACACCAGAAGCTTGAAAGCTTCAGCAACTACACAAGTCCAAATTTCGACCCGTTAAGCATTCGAAACTCATCCGAGGCCCCCGAGACCTCAACCAAATATACCAACAAGTCCTAAAACACCATAAAAACTTAGTCGAGCCCTCAAATCACAACAAACAATGCTAAAAACATGAAACACCCTCCGATTCAA